CGGCAACATTGTTAAATTGCTAAGGTTCACTTCATCCAGTCGTCCGAGTGTGGATTAGGCGGGAGTGAGCCAACATGGGAGACACCATATTCCCAATGGCTTTCAATAAACGGCAGTGAAGTGAACTGCCTGTCGGTTCCAGATATAGTGGTCGACGAAAGTCTGGCCCGACTCGGTAATAGTCCGTGCTTGTAACTACGGCAACACTTCCGTTATTTCGCTGCAGATAACGGTCACGACCCAACGAATTTGACTGTACATATATGATCTGTTAGGTCAGTTTCCTCAGAGCGGTTTTACCGAATGGATTGGCTGTTCCACCGCATCACAGCATGATTTTGGGGCATGCTCAATCTGAGATCCCGTCACAGGCCTCGAACAAGGACCGTCGTTGCAGGATGCTCTCATGCGGTCGCTCCCGTGGTAGCGGCCCGTCAGCGTCTGTCAACCAGTGACGATGCGTCACGTCGGCTCAAAAAGAATGTGAACATGATGGTTTTGGCTCGTGTACAGCCACTGCGTTCAATGGTACCTGAGAACCTGCTACAGCACAGAATCTCAACCAGTCGTATGGTGAGCCACGTCCGCTTTGATTTTAAAAGTACGAACTGCTCCCAACACTGGGTGGTTGAAAACGGGCTCCAGAGATATTGTTGCAAATAAAGCGTCATCTTAGCGAAATACATTCATTTGCAAACAAATTTGGTTTTTAGAGAGAGAGACTCACCCGGAACTCAGCTGGATCTGTCGGTTTTAATGTTTACAGGCGACTGAATATGTTGCGCCCACCTGATGAGCCCCAAAAAGGGCGAAACCGGTCGTGGACTATCGACGGATTTTCAGCAACCCTATGAGTAGTACATTACAGGCTTAGCTAGATTTGTTTGCACTGAAAGATTGAGAGACACTTATGACGGCCTTGAACATCCATGATTAGCCGGTTCTATCTAGACTGGATCACTGGGTACAAACAAAGATGCCGTTTAGGTAGCGCGGTTACGATGAAAATGAAGCTGAAGGTTGGTTCACTGCGACTGTTCATGTGGTGTGGCTAGTGACATTTTCCGGAGGACTATCGACCCACCGGCATGGTAGGCAACATAGACAACGCATTCCTACTGTGTGATGTCTCGCACAAAGCAGTTTGGAAAATCAAATAGAATATGCGGGATTCTTCCAAGAGATGAAGAGCCAAAAACATACACTCCAAGATCACGCGGAAAAGTTGAATGTGACATTATGTTAACCTGTACCAACTACAACAACTGTAGTGAGATCACCAGGAAAGTTGGAAGGCATTCCGCAGCGGTTCTCAGAGCACAGAGAAGCATTTCCTATTCTCTTAACAGAACGGCTCTGCCTAAATCTGTATAACAGTGTTTGCACAACTGGGTCTTTTGTCAGGTACAAGCCACGTCATTTCACCTAGTCTCGTGTTAGGCAACGTTGAGTTGGGTATTCCGGCACCGAATGTATCGCATCGTCAGGATAATATGATTGGCACGCGCTTCACACCTGAAAAGTGTGAAGTGCTACTGCAAGACTGGATGGGCTCGAACCCTAGCCTCATGCTTGCGGATGAACCGATTAAAGTGGTAGACAAATTTGTTTACCTGGGTAGCTGTATCAGTCCCGGTGGTCTCGCGAAAGATGATATTTCCCTCCGAATTGGGAAGGCCAGAGCAGCTTTTGTGAATCTGTTACACGTGGCATAGACGTGACATCAGCTTTTTTGTCAAGGGTCGAGTTTACAATGCTGCGATCCGCTCCACATTACTGTATGGATCAGAAACCTGACTTCTGCGCGCCGAGGACGTCAAAATACTTCCAGTGTTTGACCATCGATGTCTTCGGAGCATTGCCCAAATCTGGTGGGAACACCGGATCAGCAATGCTGAAGTACATGAATAGTATTAGGAATAAATAACTCTCGCTAGATAGATGAACTGATCACACTGCATTGGTTGCTCTGGCCTGGCTACGTGCTGCTACTTCCTCGAAGTGCTCTTTGGTGAACGCACGTGAAGGGTGGAAGAGAGCCAGAGGCGGTCAAACAATGACTTGACACCGAAGCTTTAAAGCCATTACTAGCAAACTCAGCTGAGCTGGTCACTGCGGACTTCCTGGATTGGGACCCCAAGACAAGCCATGACAATGGTTGGAGACATTGTCAGACAAGGCCCAGTCGCGCCCCCAATGGCGCTCGTGCATTCAAGCTAGTGCCTTCGATTCATAGCTCCTTTTCCATGGCTCCCAAATTTAACAGTCCATTGACAGTGTTGTATTTACGCACTAATTTATCAGCTCCCGCCTTCAACGCGCGGCTAACAAACCCACCTCTCCGAATCATCGGTGAACGAAATTGTGACAGTTACAACCAATGTACGGCAAGTACGAGGTTATTACAGCTGACGATGATGATGATGATGATGATGATGATGATGATGATGATGATGATGATGATGATGATGATGATGATGATGATGATGATGATGATGATGATGAATATAACCAATAAGTACTGACTGACACTTCTGGTGGTTTTAAAATACAAGCACACGCTGCAAAGTCAGACAAGTTTATAACCCGTCGAATCCAGTGGACTCAAAGCTGTTTGGCTTCAAGGGGATGGAACGTTGCCACAACAGTTCAGAAATGTGTACAAATCGAAAAGAACATCCTAAGACATTCTAAAAACATTCCAAAACTAATGCTTTGGTTAAAAAGAAGTCCCATGGACTGTTTCCTTTAATCTTCCTGATGCGGAATAACTACTGTAACAGACCAATAGTAATTCAGGATTTATGACCGAACATCGTGAGTAAGTGTGAAAAGATCATCCAAACGACATTCGAGAGAACGGTAGCTGGTTCTAGGCTTATGCTTCTCTGCGAGCAGAATACTGTAGATATGTACTCTATTAATAATATGCAAAGGTCAGCATGGTATAGCACACCAGTGAAAACATCTTTTCTACGAATTTCGGAAACAGATATCTGAATACAGTGCTTTCGGAGAGGCTAAGATAATGTCATAGTCTGCCCAGATGAAGAATTTGAAGAATCAGGTACTTCGGTGGTCCATCTGCTCATTTCGTTAACGTACCAGTTGGGTGAATTCTGCTTGATCTTTGTCACCTGAGTTCCTGGGAGCTGATTTAGCAACAGGGATATCGTCTAACGGCTGTTAATCTTCAACCTTGAGGTTACCGTAAGCTTCAGAACAATAACTCCGAGTAGGTCTCAGAACGAAGCGAAATCTAGAGTGGCATAGCCGCCTACGAACACAATAGGCAAGCATCGGCTTTAAACTCCCATTGAATGTAGTGTGTGAACCGGCAATGTGGATAGCATCCTTCTACCGTCCTTTAATGAAGAACGTTCACCTCTGAAGACATCACGCAGCAGGATTTCATCTACTGAATTTCCGGTCACTGTATATTCAGTAAGGTGACTGCAATGGAATGCGCGATGCCTAATGGTCAAAACTGCAATATCCCGCCCTGATTATTAAACACTGACGAGATATGCTCCACATACGAGCACAATATCACTTGAAATGAGCGGAATTTCAGTGGGTAGAAGACACACAAATCAGTCGGGATAAGAACCAGAAACCAGTGAAACTGGATGGATGGGAATTCTGGAAAATAATGCTGGTTAGTGGTTAGTTTCTGCTGCATGCTGCAAATTCGAATCACGACACGGAATGACTGTCATGGTCTGAGCTTGGGAGCGTCAGGTCACGCACGTGCCTCGTGTGAATTGGGCGTGAAAATGGCCGAACGTTCGATAAGGCATTGGGTCGAGTGAGTTCCATGACAGTGTGACTCACCATCACGACCCCATCCATTAACTGTGCCGGCCCACGGTCGTCAAACCTGTGCGGAAAAAAACGGAACAACCGATAACGTCGGTGCTGCATAAGGCCAGGAACATGGTTCGTAGCTATGTGCGTCATTCGAACAGACGGTAGTAGGAAAGACAGGAAGCCCCATTGATTTCCAATCGCGGTTGATGTGTCAAGACAACCATGAAGTAACCAACGTAACCGATACCCCGTTAACTGAATTCATATCTCTGATACAACCGGATAAACTGGAGTAAAGACCAGTGCGGGAGGTTCCGAGGCGGTCAGTTGCACCACTAAATCCATGAGGTAGCTTGGCACGACTGTTTCCAGCAGTATTCTACTGAAGTACGACAGCCGGTCCGTCAGGCGCTTTGAAAGGTGGTTGCTATGCTAACTGGAGTGTGACGACATACCACTGTTTGGTGTGTAACAGTTCGGGGTACTGGAATTGGGTTCCAGAACGAAGTGGAGCCCGAAAATTGTCCGCTGAATGACGCAGAATAGACATCGTTGGTTAGATCGAGAGATTCACAGTCACTCGGTCCACACCACACCTGCGACTTGATGCCCAGTTTATCAAAGATATGTGTTTGACAACCCTGCATGTTCACACTGAAGAACTTACGTCCTATATGTCAGACGATAATAAATGACTGAGAAAGATGCGTGTTTTGAGACTTATGCAGTGAGGAGCCAAATATAGGTTGATCATCAGGGTCAATGCGACCAAGTTTAACCTGTTTTTCTGCCTAACAAGAGGTTGGTCGCACCAACGCACACGAGAGCATGCCGTTACGGCCAAGATTATCATAAAGGACACGTACACTACTTTGAGCCGCTCATAATCCGGTCATGATCTGCTGTATTCATGATAGAGCTTGATTACTTTTGCGGTTGATGTGATGGTGATAGCATCCTATTAGGTCTCGTCTGATGAATATTTTATCATATTACTTAGAGGTCCTAGTGGAACAGCGTATGCTACTGGTGAGACATGCGAGTAGTCTGTGTTCTTCTCGAAGCTCCACCCCACGTCCAATTGAAGGTGAAGTTTATTGAGGAACTTGTAGAACTGCTTTGCAGTGCTCGTTTACAATGGTGTAATAGTCAATGAATATCCAATAAAGAGAATGTTCAGCTTTCAAAGACTATGTGCATAGGAGACGTTTACTTTCCTGTTCAATAGCTTGTAACTGCTTAGTTGGTGTAAACGACTTCGCGGCAAACGGCTTTCTTCCTTTCACTGGTAGTTGCCAGGTTTGTTGGGTAGGTAGCCATATCTAGCAGATATGAACACATTGCAGTGTCTTAACGCGTTTATTCCGATGGGGGGAATGGACTCGACAGAGCTGATCAATAATGCGTATCTGTCTCTTATAGGGGCTTATCATATTACCGATTGAATCTCGGTAAGACCGAAGGGACAGGGTATCGAGTGTGACCATCCTTCATTGACGTTATAATAAAATAACAAGTTCAGCTTATTACGTCCTGTTAAGGTGTGTTTTAAGAGCTTACCGCATCGGTCAAGCTGATGCAATGTTGTTGCAGTCTGTTCACTTACCCTTTAGTTGGCGGAGTAACGGGCACCGCAGTATCCTGTCTCATCAATAAAATTCTTGTTATTCATAACCATAACAGGAGAACTGTTTTGGCTTTCAGTTGTCCTATCATAACCATTCGGATGGAAATCAATCAGCTAGAAGTCGGCAAGACACAAAGATCTTGAGGATTACGCAGCTCATGCCTTCAGTAAAATCAGCAGTTATTTAACTATGGAGTTTCGCACTCAGTTTTTTTGCATCATTCATGTCCTGATGCCAGCACCCTTTGACCCAAGGACTGTTCTGCGGATCGCTGACTGTGAGCTATTTACTTTTTACTCAGGAAGATCGTTCCGAGTTGGAAAACGACAGTACTAGCAGGCAAAATAACCAAAGTGGTCAGTTTTTGATTGTCTGTCTACTTCTTTGTGTACCTCCAGTGTTCACTGCAAATAACATGTTCGAGACTAAAACTGTAAAAGGCATTCCATAAGTTTTATGCTGAGAAGTAGATGTTAGACAAGTATGAAAAGTTTCCTGAATAAGAATGAGTCTCCGATCACATAATTTCATTGACAGAAGGGAAGGCTGTTAACCAATTGACAGAACCTGCTCTGTGAATCGCCCCGAAACAGGCTGATAGACTGATTATTATGGCGGTCAAGGTGGTAAGAAGATTCTCAGTCATCATAACCTCTTGTCATGATGAGTAAGACAAACTTTAGATGCCGTCTGGTGGATAGTTAATGGCTTGAATCGGAAAGACAGGCTACTGACACCATTTTGAATGAGTGATCTTCAATCAAGGTGAAGTGATAGATTGCCCTGGTGACCGGACGGGAATTTGAGCGGCGTGATATCACTCAAACGTGCAACATATGGGCGTAAGGTGGGAGCGTCTACCATTATATTTGGCTAGGGTTGTCAGGCCAGTTAGCACAGGAACCACCTTTCAAAGCGCCTGATGGACCGGCTGTCATACTTCAGCAGAATAATGTTTGAAAATGTCGTGCCAAGCTACCTCATGGATTTAGTAGTGGATTTCGGGACCTCCCGCACTGGTTTTACTCCAGTTTGTTCGACAGTATCAGAGATATGAAGTCAGTTAACGGAGTATCGGTTACGTTGGTTAAATCATGTTTGTCTTGACACATCAACCATCATTGGAAATCAATAGGGCTTCCTGTCTTTCCTACTACCGTCTGTTCGAATGACGCACATAGCTACGAACCATGTTCCTGGCCCTATGCCCCACCGACTTTATCGGTTGGTCCGGTTTTTTCCGCACAGGTTTGATGACCATGGGCCGGCACAGTTAATGGATGGGGTCGTGATGGTGATTCACACTGTCATAGAACTCACTCGACCCAGTGCCTTATCGAACGTTCGGCCATTTTCACGCCCAATTCACACGAGGCACGTGCGTGACCTGAGGCTACAAAGCGCAGACAATGACGACCAGAACATGTTTTGATTCTGGGTCCTCGGGTTTATTCGCCATTTAGGTGCTTTTTTTTAAAGTGTAATATTTATTACTCGAAAACCGGTATTCAGTGCATGGCTTTTGTATCCGGATGCTTTCAGGAATACGACTACTAGTCATAGGTAAAAAAATACCTACCGTTTCATCATGGAGTGAACAAATTTTTGTGAAGTGTTGATGATTTCTTTTTACACTTACGAGATGCTTGCTTATCGATCCGAAATTTGCAATCTGGTAAAACCTAGAATGTACACTTAAAACTCTTGATTTATGAATACACGCAAATCGGTACAAGCTGGTTGCCTCTGACAGTTCTTTTTGGTTACCTGACGGGTTCTTCTCTTCTTCGTCTTCGGGGGGGGGGGCCACGAAAACAGTGACCAAAAGTAACAAGTCGGATATCTCTAAAATTGTTACCTCTGACTTAAAGTGTGCGAAAGCTGCGTGTTTTACTCATCCTACCGGAGTTAGTGGTCAACTGTTGGATGGTGCTATCCGTCGTCTGTAAGGTGTATCCCTTTATTCTTCGTTCATACCTCCAGGAACATCCAACCTGACTTTAGCACGCTAACACATGATAACAACACCGGTTCCGTTGTTTCTGGGAGCCCTGCGCCCTTAAATCTATACAACGCTGGTTACTATACTCAAAAATGTATTGGATATTCCAGTAAATAAGAATTCCAAACAAACTTCGCATGTCCACTTCTTGACACTTCGAGCCCCATCTTCCCAGTACCCTAGTAGAAAACAGACGAAAACGAAATTTATTTGAAATCACTTCTTATTGGAACGAGAACTGCCGAATTTTGGTAAAAGCAGCGTAGTACTGGGTAGTAGTACTGGGTCGATCGAGAGACGGACTAAATGAAAGTGGCCTTCAAATAACCCATGCCCAAAATACTACTTATTCATTCGTAAATGGCCTTCCTAAAATTCACAAAATAGATGTCATATTGCACCACTCACTGCATTACTGGTATGGCGATAGGTGCTACTGATGAACTATGTGAGTAGTCTGTGATTAGTGGCCAAGCTCCATCCCGCATCTGATGGAAAGTGAAGTTTAGTGAGAAAAGTGTGGAATCACTTCGCACCGTTCGTTTACCATTGTGCAATGGTTAATGAATATCCAGGAAAGGTCAAGAGGACGCGTGAGAATGTTCATTTTTTAAAGACTGTGCGCAGATGATATGCTTACTTTCCTGTCCAATAACTTGTAACTGCTTAGTTCGTGTTTGCCGATAGACCAATTTTCAGCGAACGAATTTCCTCCTTTCACCAGTAGCTGACTGGTTGTCCAGTTTACGAGGATCAGTCCAAACTCCCATGGTCAGACAAGGCACACACAAAACATTCCGGGTCACTAGTAAATTTTTTATAGGGAAACACTATCTTTAGACAGTACATTCCGTGGAATGTAACGCCGTCTAAGTAGTGGCGATAGTTTTATGGTGTGTGATGTCTCTCTTCTGCACGTTTTCATGCAGTTTTTTTTAGATGGACATGCTGCAAGATTAGCAGCCCCCTCTCTTGACGTATTGTTGACAAGAATAGAATACAGGGTGACACAACGTCCGGTGTAGCGTGAACCGACATGGACAAGTCAGTACACACATTTCTGCAGCTTAGTCCCCTCAAAATAAGCCAGCACTTGTTCGTCACTTGTCAGATTGGGCAGTATAAATTTTCTCGGCATACTAGTGGTTGACGGAAAGAGTAAACATTTCAAGGATTGTCTTCCTATAAAATGGCTACTCAGAAACAAATCAAACCGAGACCGGCAAGAAAACTCCAATTTGCTGCATCCGCGCTCCTTTTTTCAAAAAGGACGTGACTTCTGAGATAATGAATATAAAAATTCTGAGACATCTTCCGGAATAGCTTACACCGAACGCTTAAAACAGTTTTCACCAGTTATCCCTATATCAAGAGGAGTCAAAGGACAAGCTACTGCCTTAGTGCAGGTTTATTAATTTGTCTGCTCCAATAGCAACATGTACTTCGGTCGAACGAAGAAGAAAGTCATATCCCCTTTTACCTTCTTTGTAATAGTCGTCCTCTTGTCGCTATGACTAGTGTATTACGTCCATACATGTGTCGCGATTTTTTGAATATCGTACCAACTGAAATGAGGCAGCACATTCAGTTGCTTAGAAACGTCATAAACAGGAGATTCAGCTGGATTTCAGGTGAGTCTCCCGAAAAAACAAATTGGCTTGAAAATGAGTGTATTTCACTAATTTCTTGTAATTCGAGTTCAATTGGAACAGAAATTTGACCAAAATCGGGGACTGTGTCTACTTGGTGAGCCCCAAGAAGAACGAAACCGGTCATGGACTGTCGAAGAATTTACACCAACCTTATGAGTAGTGTATCACTTCCATTCTGGCGAGTCCTTTCTGTGTGGACCGACCAGAATAATGTAGCCGGTATAGGAGGACAATTGTTCAAAAGACAATGAGATGAGTTCTATGAGGTGAATTCTACAAATTCCACAAACACCTACAACTGGAGAGACGGCTGCCAAAACGCGTATTTGAGCACATACCGTTCACAAGTCAGGTGAGTCAGAGATGTAAGGTAAACGGTTTTGTTTTCCTCAGTCATTTTTACGTACATCCGACGTTTTACTAATGTTTGTGGAAATTAGCCTTCTTATCACAGAAGCTACGTATGTTTAAGCACATGCATCACACACACAAGCTTTTTTGTACGGCCATTGAGTTTCACCCGGACAATCACTTATCTGCTTCACGTGACTGGCCAAACATACAACGGTCTTATCAGTCTTGACCGTTGATTATCGGTGTTAACCAGACTGACGTTCGCTCACTGTTCTAGCCGACTGTGTGTATGTCCGAGCTAAGAGATATCGTAAGGGCCAGCTTCGTGCAAGCTCTATTGCTTGTATGCGATAATGGGACAGTTTCACACGATCATTGTCGTTCAAGCGATAAACTTTTCTATACCATTTGTAACACGGCTTGTTTCGCATCATTATCATATACACTTTTTAGGATAAGACATGTTCCATTGAAATCATTTTCCACCCAGCTCATTGTTAGTTTTACTCCGCCTTTTTGGTGATAATAAGCAATGCCATTCGTTTTTTGCTTGCCAGTTATGGGTAAGACTGGGTGAAGGTTACAGCTTGTGAGTCCAGCTGCGTGAATCCGAGCTGATGTTTCATGTTAACCCGCTATGCTAGACAAATAAGACCGTTTTAGTTGTTGGTGTTTGTGAGATTCGTAGAATGCACACTCACATGATTCTCGTTTGAACAACCTTCCACTTGTCACGGTGCAGTTGTTCTGATGAGTTCAAAGCAGAAGGGAAGAAACGTTGGACTCGAGTTCCGCTCTTAGTAGAGCTCATCATAAGTGCATATCAGGGATTTGAACTCCGTACATCTGATATGCGAGGCGAGATTGTTACCGCTCGTCCACCAGTGTACGCTGGATGCATGCGAATTTTCAAGTCTGAAAGCCGCGAACGAAAACCCAGTAACTGTGACGTCACTTAGTCAACGTGGAGGACGCTCAGGTCGAATCATGATTTTGACGTCTCTATTTAAACTGCGCGACTACGATCTGTCTGGGTGACCAGCCAAAGCAGAACAAAACAAGAGAATACATGCTCGCTTCTTCAAGCGGTGACACATATTCCGTAAAGTATGAAAGTAATTCATCCGACAACTGCATAAGCATTACGCTGATGATCAATAAGCTAACATCCATGTAGATAGAAAGCGTGTACCAGGGCTGGACATAGCGGAGGCACTAAACATGTATTAATTCATCTCAACTAAGTTGGTCGAGTAGCGTGAATGCACCAAAATAGTTCTCAGTGTGGACACCCACTAAGTCTCCAAGACTATCGGACTGTCATGACTGATTCTCGGTCCCTTACCTTCACTCGTACAAACAAAGTGTTTACTCGCCTTATGGATTGAACACAGCACTCAGACCGTCAGCAATCTATTGCTCCATTAAGTCGAGAATTCCTTTCCATCTGATAACATAAGTAGATGCAGATGGAACTTTCAGTCAACAACGCCTCCACGAAATCTACCCTCTAACGAAAATAATTGCGCAATGTGTACGCATTGCTGTTGTAGACGGAGATTCCAATTGTTCAAGTACAATGAGACGATGCTGATGGGGAGTGACAGGCTTCGTGTTTTGTTCAATTGCGGTGGTTCAACATGATGGGACGGTCCAAGATTGTTTGAAGTGATTGTTCCACTTAATTCAACAAGTAGGACCCGCAATTATCAGCGCTATCGATATTGAGAGTCTTCAGAACACTGAACGCCAGGTGACGTTTCTGTAACCGAACCCAAGAAAACATCCGGCCTCTAGAATCATATATAGTCCGGCGGTGTTGAACCAATAACCGAGCACACTACATCACCATTCAGGAGGACAGAATCATTTCTTACAGCCAGAATGCATGTCAACTTAGTGTTGTTATACCAATCAAACAAACCATTTTATTTACATAGGTTGAACTCACACTGAAGATACGGATAAGAAATGATTGTTTATTCCACTGTTGGTAAAAGATCATGCTGTCTGGCTCCTGGTCCGCATGAAATCACAACAAAACTTGTGACCTAATCGTTTGGTCCGATGGAGTCATTACGTCAACAGCAAGGCAACACATCTGACGGTCATCTTCCATATCTTAATGAAATAATTACTTCCGACTGGATTCCAAACGTTCCTAAATTGATTAGACTCATCGAATTTATTCATTCTGCTTTGGTAACTTAGAAATAGTTTCCAGGTTTTCTTATGCTTCTACAGATCATTCACAGTGGTCGTGTTATTCCTAGACTCTTGTACTAGCCTACTTAGTCGAACCATTTAAACTAGCACTGAGTCTTGTACTTCTCATAAGGTTGCTGAAAATCCATCGACAGCCCACGACCGGTTTCGCCCTTCTTAGGGCTCATCAGGTAGGCGCAGTCCCCGGGTTTCCGTCAACCTTATGTTCTACTTGAAACCAAATTGCACGAAATTAGCGAATATACACTCATTTGCAAACTAATTTGGTTCTTTCGAGAGACTCACCTGGGACCCAGCTGAATCACTCGTTTCAGCAACCTTATGAGTAGTACATTACAAAGATATATATGTATCGCGATATTTCAAATATCGTAGCGACTGAAACATGAGGCGGCCTGGTGCAGCACATTCAGTTGCCTGAGAACATCATAAGTGAGAGATTCAGCTGGGTTTCAGGTGAGTATCTCGAAAGAACCAATTTAGTTTGCAAACGAGTGTACATTCGCTAGCACTGAGTCCGTGTGATGTGTCTGAAATTACAACCTAATGGTTGTGAAAAAGTCAGGAGTTCCACATGATGACTTCAACGAGATGAAATTGCAGTTTAGACCACCCAACGGGAGTGGGGTGTGATCTGCCGATCTCCAGTCGTGACCAGGGTTAATTAGTCATTTGACCTTTGTTCCGGAAAGACGGAACCGACAAACCGAAGTAAGAGTTTGGCCTGAATTGACCGTCACATTGACCTGTGAAACTAGGTAACTTCGATATATTCAAAGTGCCTTGCAATCAAGTGTCAAATAACATTCACCTCTTGATCTAAGGCAAGAGAACACCGAAAGCACACAACCTGAAAAAACTTTGAACTGTGATTCGATTTTGATACACTAAGTCACTTGGGAAGAACCCGTTTAACGTCCTCATTGGTTTAACCAGCGCATTTTGAGCGACGTACCCATCCGAGGATCCCTCAACTGTTTTTCGGCTGTTTCACCGGCTGCCCAGCTGAATAGAACGGGGCTCCGTCTAGGGTTCCTGAACCGGTGGTTGTATATACCGACGACTGCCATTCAGAGCTGAGGTGCCTTCCCCATATTGACCAGAAACGCGCAGTGGTTAACCGAGTGACGTATAAGAGAAATACGCCAGAAAACCGCAATGCTATATCGTTAATGGAAGCGGTAGTTTTTTACAAAAGCCATGAAGATTGCTTCAAGATTTCATCAGCCGTCTCTGGAAGGTTCGAGAAGAATGATTTCGTTGTTAGAGTGATTGTATGGCCTAATTCTAGGTAGTCTGCATCCGAGGTTGATTTATAGTCCGTTATAGTACATTTTTAGGTTTGTGGCAAGTCATGCAGTGTACCACAATCACTTGTCGACAAATCTATCGAAAGACATCCGTGCTTGTTAGCTGATCCTGCGATTCCCTTCAGTTTCGTCGTACGCTAAGTGTCGGTGATTCTCAGTAAGGATGAAACCACTGTGCAGTGCTTTTAAGCTTTTCAGCTTCATTTAGACGCGACGGCTCAAGTGGTTAACGCGCGAATTTACCGACCGGAAGGTCCATGGTTCGACCCCAACCTTTGCCTTTCGACTTCCCCTGTCTAGGTTTGGGCAACCTGACAGTATCCCAGTCCTCATGCTTCCTCCGGGTGGCATGGCAGCTAGGCACCAGAAGGGTGCTACAGCTGAGCGATTATTTTGTTCAACGTCTCTTCGCTAAGGAGCTTGTAAACTATTATTGGTTAGTTGGTTTAACTCAAAAAGGCTAACAACCTTTTCTCATCCATCAAGCTATGCCCCTGGAAAGAATTGCTATCGCATAAACGCTCAGTGACCACCGAGGGACCGAAGCTACCGAAAGAAGTGGCACAATTTTTCACCAGAATGCATATTCGAAAAAGCTTGCTTTTATATCGCGGCACTGAGTTAACAATCGAAGTTTTTTTTTCTCTGAAGCAACCAGATCCCATTTGCCGACCAGGCGAGTGGAGCTGGAAAGACACTAATGCATAAAAAGACAAAAAGGTGTTGATATAGCTTAAATATGGGTAATTCGTAGTCTAAAATTAGAACTCAAGCGACAGAGCAAATGTAATGAGAGTAGGGTGCTCAGCACATACTAGTCTGTGGCTTAGTTTGCATGTTCTTCTGTTTTTCTCTCCAGCTGGTCGATGGCGCACATTGCATCAAAAGAAGTTGGGAGAATGTATTGCTATTATAGCTGGGACAGATCAGCTATGTCCCTACATTTCCACGGTCTTGGCTGCGGTACTGTGAAGATGACAAATTATTAAACGTCACTTTGCGGTCTCCTCCAGCAACTGGTAACCAGGAAATTTGAAAGGGTCGAGAATGGACATACTACTCATGGGGTTGGCGACAAATATTCGACAACCTACGACCTTTTTCGCCTTTATCTGGGTTCATTATCAGGTGCAGGCCGCGAGTTCCCGCTAACCTGATGTTCTACCTGAACTCGTATTAGACAGAATTCGTGAACTACACTCATTTACACACTGATTTGCTTGTAACGCCAGACGTGACAGAATCCAGCTGAACCTGTCGTTTATGACATGCTTTAGCGCCAGTTGACGGATTTTTGTTTGTCATTACCACTGGGTTGATACAATCAACATGTAGATGTTTCGAACAAACGCGAGCGATCAGCACCGATAGCTCAGATTTCAGATGGGATGAATATTTTCAACCAGGCTGTCAATATCAGATCCTTTTTGCGATAGAATCCTTGTTTTCTCATTTCGGTACTTTGATTTCCTCGATGGAAGTACTCAACCACTACGACCAGAAGGCTCGCTTCATCCACAAAAGAAGCAAGAATTACTGACATGATGTGGGCGAACTGCGTATTTGAAGTTTATCGCGCGGTGAGTGAGTGAGCAGCGAGAAAATCAATACAGCATAGGTCGGAAATCCATGGTCACCCTGATTAAGCTTAGTTACTCAGACCTCTCACAGTTGTCCTTAGGTGAATGGCAGAGTGAGTGTCAAGCTTCTCGAACCGTGAACGACAAACGGCGTGAATGAAGTGCTCGCGATGTCCATGGTGGAAACGTCTGCAGTAAATTTGACCCCACACGGCTAGTGTGTGACCATATAGCATTGACTACCGTGAATTACGGACCATCCACGTTGTTGAGCAGCATTCTCAAGTGTGGGATGGTTTAAATGTGACACAGAACCGTCGTGTCTACCCTCGTGAACACACCCAGGGGAAGAGGGGAACAATGTGGTATAGAGTGAACTCATGTTGTATAAAATGTCTACTGTGAGCCACACTTGAGTTGTGGTCAGTTACCCTATTTTCATGTGCGATGAGAATTCTCAGCTAACTGTTTGACAAACGGTTTCACTGTAAATTTTGGTTGTCGATAGGAATAGGTGTGGTAACTCTTAATGCGCAAAGAGAGATGAGATTGCAAGTTCGGGCCTCCCTGGGGGAAGCAGCTCTTGTTCCAGTTAGCAGTTGTCGAATGACCTTCCATAGCTACCCAATGCCATTTTTCGGGTGAAATAATAGTAAAATATAAACAATTGTGCCTTGGGAACAGTCAAGAATTTAACTGCCTGGTTAATTAAGCAATTTGGGCTCCATAAAGAAGGTTAGGTTTGGAAAACGTCCTATTATGGGCGCTAATAAATATATCAGAACAATTGTCAATGCCCAAGCCTCCTTCGCAATCTAAGAAGTAGCCGTTACTTAACCGCCCAGTTTGATACCTTCGGTCGTACGCAGTACTCCAAAGGCGATTCCTCTGACGATGTCACCTGTGATGATTGTTTTTGCGTGTTGCTCCAGTCACAACCGGTGGTTCAAAACATGTCACTCTGCTGCTTGAAAGCATGGTCAGCTGAGCCGTACTGTCAAGGAGAGTGATTCAGAGCACAGCTCATTGGCGAGGCCAGCGACGGTTATCATAGATCCGAGTTAATTCGTACCTTTGTTAGGAGTAGTTCAGTATAGCCTACGTCTGCAATTCGTACAACAACCTGTTGCCTTACTGTATTCCATTGATTAAATTATTCACCTTGGAGTCCCGGTTGGAACGATCTATTGGAGCCTATTTTGAAACCGTTACGTTTTGCATCCAGAACCGTAATTCAATGCTAGGACTACCATGTCTATGTAGGTACTAGACATTTCGAGAGATTTTTCTTGTTATCCTGATGGTCAAGATAGAGTATTTATTGAACAGATCCTAAATTTCAGCCTTGACATCCAAGAAATGTAAGTTTCTACGACCATCTTGGGGGCAAATTTTTCTGGTTTGTCTTATCATCTGAGGTACTCTAAGCACTACATACGGACGTTTTTCGCACCATACACTACTGTGGGCTTAGCTGGTGATACAACTTATTGACTGACAGGCCTAAACATACAGTAATAGCCAGATCCTGAGTCCCACACTATATTGCTGAGTTCCCACACGACTGTCAACCTGGCAGGCATCAAATCGTAGAAACCACAAAGAATATCACTATTGTTGGAGTCCAATTTGACTGTTCTCTATAGACGGATCACATCTGTTCGCACAGAAACTCTTCCGAGTCGATTTGTCCTTCACTCCTTCGTCTAGTTGTGTAATTCGTCTGCGCACTGCCACAATGGCAGATTTGATTCCTGGTGAACAAATACTCCAATACACTGCATAGTTGGTGACAATAGAATAAATCAAATGGTACGAAACTGAAGACTTCGTGATCTGACACGAGATCTCCAGTCTAGGTGTAGGATATTTCAGTGTAGTGTTCAAGTTATGCAAGATCCAGTACATATGCTTGCTTCTTTCCGAGCTATGGCAATCGTGCAAACAACGGCGAAACACTTCACCGATATCAGCCCACTGAATTTTGAGTCCTAACGGCGTCCAGTTTAGTAGCACCTTCATCTCCTGGTGTCCTCAGGTCTCTGAAAACGAGTTCCCATTGCACCCAACTAGACAGCCTTTACTTCATCACCAGACACTTTTGCTGCACAGACCAAAGTGTGGCCCACAGCAATCGGACTTTAGAGTTTGGCCAAAAAAATGTGATGACTCAACGGTTTATGATAATGAGTGCGACCAGTAATCATAGTACCGGACGACATGCGACCCAACATTTCTTTGGTCCGCAGGTGACTCATACCCCTGTGGTCGTGGAAAGCGATAAAAAGGACTTACGTGCAAACAACAGGTTTTTATTAGGTAACAAACAGCAGTATTCAATGCTCTTGGCAAGCTGTATTGGATGTTCAGTGATGCTCACCGGTGATTGGTTCACTATCTTATTGGCCGTCCGACGCCTGAGGTCAGCCGGTCATGCTTTGCAGTATTGATTAAACAGGATGTCCCTAATTGGGTCATCGAAATGTAAGTTGTCTTCAGTGAAACGTTCAGTTGATTGGTTGGCGGATGGTTTCTCAAATCCATATCACTATTGGCCGGAAACATCATCAGGTTGTAATGCGCTGGTCTGGAAAACCCCTCTAGAAGAGACGTCTGCGAAATGACCCCCTAAATGGGAGCAAAGCCAGCTACACCCTTGTGGTTTGCAAATAACTGGCTTAGACCTATAATAACAAGGTATGCCGTCTGGGTATCCTTGTGGATCTTTGCCGCAGGAGGGCAGAGAGGAGTTTCCTGCACACCGTCCGGCTTGGTTGGAAGGTTCCAGAACCCCAAGTATCCCTTTAGGTGTCTAAACTCTCCAGTGGATGGTTCTGATGGTACAAAACGTTGTACAGAATAAGCAGACTCAAGGTCTAAGCAAAGGAAGGAAGGTTTCTGCTCAGACTGAGATGCTGAGCATTGGGGTGCAACGTTCCACCTATGTAGTGCGAGATACCAATTTGACGAAAGTATTGGTATCCGACTATCTCTCCCCCGTTCGCCTCTTCAGAAGAGATGCATGTATCAGAAAGTGGTTGGCACAAATGAATGACATGAAATCGTTTTAGTGGTCCGCGAAGAATCGTCATGCACTTAATTTTGTTTGCAAGAACGGCTTGATATATTTAGAGTTCTTCTGTACGTAAAACCCTACATGGCTAAGATAAAGCACATAGTTTTGCTTTAACAGCAAACGAAGTAGCACAAAGTCCGAATAGACTCCAGGATGCAGAAGAAACAACATTAAAAGCACGTTAGCGAAATTGCCGACTGGCTCAGTGCCTCCAGTCAGCCATTACACTTCCGCTTTCGAAAGACTCCCTCGCTACTCATGTACGTTTCAGTTAGTTCGGACTTGGATTTTCACCAATTGTTTCTGAGATGAAAGCCAGTCGCTTGCACCGTCTACCTCACAGGAACGGTAGCCATCCCTAGTCATCAATTTTGGTCTCACCGGTAGTCCCAGCTGACGGCTGTACTAGCGGTTCTCACTCGGCCCTACATGCAATCGGTTGTGATGTCGACTTTTTGGTCCACCAACCAATAATCACCTCTTATCGAGGGATCTGCTTTCCTCAATCCGCTAAGACTGTTATTGGACTGGGACTTCCCAAGTCGCAGTCAGCGACTTGTCTGCTTGCCATCGTGGGTTCTCTGCGTATTTATGGCACTTTTATGCGTGGCACATGGCGTTGAATGTACATTTTTGTAACTTAACCTCACACCAGACCCAGTATTACACTTCGTGCCTGATGTGCGAATCTCGATTGTGCTAGCGCTTACCGCGCCTTGAAGGGCGCTCAACATTGTTTGTCCTTTCTTCGGTTGTTGGTCTTTAGATGAGTGTTTCCATATCAAAATGTTTACACAGGATGTGATTCATCTCATCTGACTGGCAAGGATGGTGGCATGAACTACAATGAGACTTCTTTCTTGTTACCCCTTCGCATTCAGCATTTGTTTGTGACCATGGTCTTCGAAAATGATAATAGGCGCGAGGTGATTTGGTCGCAACCAAATGCTCAGCAAGGGTCACCAATATAGGAATTGCCGTGCGGCACAACACCGACGGCGGATGACTGGCCTCATTTCCCGCAGTAGCACTGATAGCACTAACCAAAAAGCCGCCCCGAATCATTCGCGGTCACCGTGTTTTATTGGCATCCTGACGTTTGACTGCAACAAGAACCACCTCCCCATTATGCACTAAATCGCCTCACTGGGAAGCTGCTATAAAGGAAAGCCTACCCAAATGAACTGTCTTGTTTGCGGCCTAACCCAGCAGCTGACAGTAGCCAGCCACAAACCTTATTCACTTCCGAGTTCTCCTAGGCAAACGGTTGGTGTAACTTGGGGCACCCGACGGATCCCCCCCACACGCGGACACGAACCCAGGTCGGTTGGCTGCGATTCGGACTCGAAATAGACTACAATCCAAACAACCGGTTTACGAAAACGCCGCAGTTCTGAGGGCTAATAATGATGGGATAGACGGTATTCAAGAGAACCATCCAGGGGGTTTAGAAGAGACCCATGAGAACAACTCTGGTATATTATGTTCAGTAAAAGTACAAGATTAGTTATCGCCAGCGTCGGCCTCCTCGTTGTCAGCTTGGTCGGTGTTCCACAGCTACAAACAGTAAATGATTGGATGGAAGAGCAACATACCGTCAGGTTGTCCCGGAGGAGTTGCATTATTAAAGTACTATCTTTGTAGGAATCTTCATGTAGCGAATCCAACTCGGCCAGAGCGTCATCGAATGCTGTCTGGGCGAGGCGGCAAGCCTCACTTGGGGCGTTTTTGATCTCATAGTGGAAGACGGAGAAGTTCAAAGCCAATCCGAGGCGAATGGGGTGAGTTGGATGCAGCTGCTTTGCAATTTCCATCGCTTTCTCATAGGCCTCAAGGGAGCTACCGACAACGCGATCACGGTCCTCCGGCCCCGCGACTTCCGACAAGTAACGATAGTAATCGCCTTCCATCTTCTTATAAAAGACCTTGCTTTCATCTGAGGAGGCGTGGGGAGTGAGGTATTTGTTCAGGAGATCCTTTAAAAGACAATGCTGAGTGCAACCATGAACTTACCAGGACCTCCTTGCAAATCTGATTCAGTTCTTCCACCATCCTAGCGCGGTACTCCTTCGTCGACTTCAGTTTTTCCTCTGGTAGATCGGGCTTGATCATACCAGAGATGATTCGCCACGCGGAACGTCTCGCGCCAACCACATTTTTGTACGCAACAGAAAGAAGGTTCCGCTCCTCATTGCCAAGCTCTTTCCCATCCTTGCCGATCACTTCCGTGTACAGCTTCATTGCTGCAGCCATATCATCATAACGCTCAGCGCGCTCGGAGTACTTAGCAATGCAAACCAGCTCATCGGGTTGGAATCCAGCTGTCGTCACCCAAGACTGAGCCATTGCGACGGTTACACACGAAGACCGACCTTACTGCCTCGCTTATATAGTATGCAATCTCAAGGTCAAATGAGGTAAAAATCTGAACTGCTGAATAATGAGATGCTTGATCATTTGCGAAAAATTTAATAAAACTCACATGTAAAAATTAAACTTATATCGATATTTATCACAAAATTTAGCTATTCATAACACAAAAGAGAACAAATGTCAACTTGGGCACATACATATAATTTGATCATAAAAGGCAAAAGTATGATCAAATTATATGCATGTGACATGCGTAGCGCCAGTCGAAATCGAAAGCACAATAAAAGCATGGTTCCGTGACCGTGTATCGCCCTATCTACTGGATTTTACTGAGCTGAGTTATTGGTAAGACGATGGTGTCTGCCTGAATATCCGCTCATAAAATTTGATGGGCTGTTGTATTTTCTGCACGCGTGGTTGATCTATCCACTTAGGTGCGCAACTGCTAAGCGCGCTTCGACATGTTGCGGCAATTCTAATAATAGTGGTAGGCTCCGTAGCTGAATTGAGGGAAATGGGCCAGATGGTGGAACAGTGTGCTTTTTATGGAGTGGCATTCGTAGTTTTCTCAGTTGTTAGTCTATTTGTTGTGAATGAAGTTTCGAAGCTTTCAAAGTCATCGGCTGGATGTATGCTTCACTTGTCGTCATCAGCTTTTCCCCGTTCTTGAATTTTTCATTGTGACAGTGTTCCCGCAGAATTCTGACATTTTCGAACATATGGAGAGGTTGCCGGGCAAATTCCGGAAAATCGGATGTGACACGCGGATCTATTCTGAATTTAGTCAGCAGTTGAGATGTAATTCAGCGGCCTCTCGATATCACTCGGTGTCCAATGTGGCTCGATTTGCGGGTCGGACCGCGGTCATTTTCACGGATAAGTGAATTCCTGCTCCCTCCTCTTCATGGCCGGGGAGAACGACGAATAGTGAACAGTTCAGCGAGTGAAAGAAGGTAACATATGCTGCCGCTGTAAATGATTGTCTGTCCGTATCAGTACCTTAATGACCGGCAGCGAAAGGCATCGACTGGGGTTCACCTAAATACACCCGTTGCGATGGGTGCGCGCAATCGTACCAGAGAGACTATGAAGCCTACCGCGGCTACATCGGTCACCCACCCGCACTTTAAGTTGCTGTTCTAGATTACTACCATGTATTTTCCAACCAGCATGGAGCGGAGGCTAGTGTAGTGCAAAAATATTCAACGGCCATTCGATCCGTTGATTTGTTTGTTTCACTGGGCTCTTAATTGAAGCAAACTTGCACGAATAGGGGAAATCCGTGACTCTGGGGGTCATGTCCGCCAACTACTGGTCTTGAACATTCATCGCCCTGGAGCTCCCTATGTATGTCTTCTCTGAACACCGCCTCTTCCTCGACGCTCTACACAATGCCCTCGGAATATGTTGAAAAGATGGCTTTCATAGCCGGCATAACCCACCGAGTTGGAACACTGCGATCGGACACCTTCAGTGATCGAATTTGATGGAGAGAAGTGTGCTGCACTTATCAGGGAACGTTACATGAATCCGTGAAAACTTCTGAATGGGTCCGCAGGCAGTCGATCATTAGAATCAGCTGACAGCCTCGAAGGATAGCGAGGTTTGGGGCAGGAGACTAACGTAACTTGTTGACATTGGTTGACCAGGGACCGAACTGCTCAATGAAGTCAGTGCCATTGATTGACACTAGGATGTCCGCGATAGAAGCGGATGATTTCTATCGTCGCCGATTTCTTCCAGGTGGTCTTCCTGTTGACCGCACCACAACGAATTGGTCAGGCGTTCATTATCAGTTCCTTCACTTGGTAACATTTACCACTTTCCACTATAAGTCCTTGTTCAAACAAATGGACATGATTGGACCGTGCTTGTCGTCAATGGCGATGTAGATGTTCACGGTGCGATGTGGCCCAAATTCGACAAGGTGGCTCAATTTGTCGCCGATTTTGAGTTATCATCGTCGGCCATAAAAATCGCGTACTGACCGCATAGTGGTTATAGCTGCCACAGTTTCGTTCACCGCTGATTTGGGGAGGTGTGCTAGATAGCTGCGATCTTGTGGTATAGCGCATATAACTGATGTGTAATTGCCAGTGAATTTTCATTCGGAAGACTTGGAGGGGAGCTGTGCACGGCGCCAGTGAGCGCTCAAGTAGGTCACATCTGGCAATATCTCTAACGATTGGTGTGTCCCGTCTCGAGGTCGCCATCCATGGAAACGGCAATGACCAGCGCATCTGAGTTTTCTGATAATTGCTTTCATACTTCGCTGCCAATTCACTGCTCCACCTCTCCTGGCTCGTTTCCACCCTTCACATTATTGTGCGAAAGGGGCCCTTCGAGGAAGTCGGTTGGCTGGAACACGACGCACGTGGCCGAGCCGTCGCAACCTGCGCAATGTGATCAGTTCATCTATCCTGGGTGAGTTATCTCTTTCGAAAACCATTCGACGTACTTCAGCATTGCTGATCCAGTGTTCCCACCCGACTCGGGCAATGCCTCGCAGACATCAATAATCAAGCACCGAGTCTTTTGATGACCTCAGAGCTCAACGACCAGGTTTCTGGCCGTTTCTGGAGCACACTGCAACATTGTAAACTCGACCCTCGGTAGATAAGCTGCTGTCACACTTGATGCAGGTTCACGGTCGTCCTAATCCGGATGGGAATGTCATCTTTGGCAAGACCGTAGGGACTTATATAGCTGCTCAGCTGAGCAAATTTGTCTACTACCTTAAATGACTCATGCGCAAAAATGAGGTTAGGGTTCTAGCCCACCCAGTCTTGCAGTTGCACTTTACACCCTGCAGGTGTGAAGCGCATGCCAAACCGTGAGGTAGAATTATTTAGAATATTTAATATTGTTTACAATACCACTGTGTCAGATCCAAGAAAAGTTATGCCATCTGCATACTCGATATGTGAACGCCCAAGGAGCATTTCGACCACACGGACATCAGAGGCTGGTAGTGAGTCTTCCATACCCGTATCATAAAGACGAAGATACAGAGAGAATCTGAAAGAGGATACCCTTGCCTGACACCACTGGATGTGGCGAACTCAGGTGAGAGATTCCCGTAAACCTCCACAAGTCCGAGGGATTTGGTGTACAGCCCCTGAAGGAGGAACAGGAATTTATCATCATCATCATTGTCAGCTGTAAGAACAGCGTACTTGTCGTACAGTGGTTGTAGCTGCCACCGACACTGTCAAAGGGCCTAGCGGTCCACAGAATCGAAGGCAGATTTCATGTGATTTCATGTCCTCCCGTGTTGGAAGCAGTGTCGCTACTCTAAAATCTGTTGGAGGGTGAAAATGTACCCGATGCATCCTCTTCCACGACGGAGTCCGGCTTGGTTTCCACGGCTCTGTCGGACTTCGAAGGATAAGATCAAGGATTACCTGCGATGCCACAGCTACCAGGCTAATGCCACGGAGGCTTTCACACAGCGTCCGCGTACTCTTTCTGAAGATCAATAATAGTTTCCGTGCGAGATGGCTCAAGTGGTTAGAGCGCGCATTTACTGACCGGAAGGTCCGTGGTTCGAACCCGACCTCCGCCACTCGACTTCCCCTGTCTAGGCTTGGGCAACCTAGCAGTATCCCAGCCCTCGTGCTTCCTTCGGGTGGCATGGCAGCTAGGCACCGAAAGGACGCTACATCTGAACGATTTTTATTTTTTCCGTGCTCCATTTTTCAGACACTGTTCGCCCGATATCGCACCAACAGTCTGTTAAATGGGTCATCCATGGGGAGTGTTACGTGGTGGCTTAGTGTTTGGAGCGCTGGTTTACTGACCGGAAGGTTGGGGGTTCGAATCCAACCTCTCCATCTGGAATCATCATTTCTAGGCAATCTGGCAGTATCCCAAACCTAGTGCTTCCCTCGGGTGGCATAGCAGGTAGGCACCAAAGGGGTGTTACCGCCGAACGATCTTCAAGAATTCTCCGCCTGCTTTGTAGATGGCTCGATACAGACCGTGCAGTCCTGGTACCTTCTCGTATTTCAATATTGATATTTGGTATCTCACTTCTCCCGACGAGCGGTTTAGGTTTGCATTCCATTCCCCCGTATGCACTATATCTAGAGGCTGTGTTTCAGGGGGCCAGCTAAGCTGTTCTTCAAAGTGTTCGGCTGATCTTTCCAGTCGACGCTTTCGTTAGTGAACTACTGACTCGCCTTATTCATTTATCGTTTCACCAACCATTGTTTTCTTAGGGCCAGTCGATCGTATCAGTTGGTATAAGGCATGGCTGTTTCCGCTAGCAAAAGCCTTCTCCATAGCTCTCCACCAGAGCTCTCGGTCTTAGGCTATCCGCTGTTTGGCTTTCTAGGGATTTGCATATGCCGTCGTACTCGTTGCCTGCTGGTACATAGTTCTTGGCATCAACCAGGAATAGGGATCTCGGTGATGCCGTGCGGTCATCCCATCGTGTCGGAGAGAGTCTTGAACGCCGCTAGCACAGCTCGTTTTACACTCCCTTTGCTTCATCAGCGTCGTCCCTATGAGTACAATTTTGGATTACCGTAGGGAGTAGTTGGGCTATCTCAAGTCGATGCTGTTGAAAACTGCTTAGGTGTAGTAACCTTTCGGAGCCTAAGTGCCATGCCGCCAGAAGGAAGCACGAGGGCTGGAATACCGCCAGGTTGCCCAAGCCTAGACAGGGGAATTCGAGAGACAGAGGTCGGGTTCAAACCACGGACCTTCCGGTTCGTAAATTCGCGCTCTAACCGCTGGGCTATCTCGCCGATACTATTGAACTGGTAGTTCTTCGTAGACTTTGGATTGGTATGCTTTTTACCGACTTGCGAAGACCTGAATGGAAGCGAACTGCCAGGACATGATCGGAATCGGTTTGTGTTCCCCAGAAGATGGAACGGTAGTATTGAATTGTGGCTCTCCACTGGTGACTGATGACCACGTGACCTGACTGAATCCACGGTTGATTTGCATTTGGAGACCGCCAGGTTACGCGATGCGAACGTTTATGCGGAAAGTTCCTACTGGCCGAAAATGTTGGTTCTCAGCACAAAGATGGATGACTCGCTCTCCGTTGTCTGTGCGACGAGCATCGACTCCGAATCGACCACCCAAATGTAATTCCAGGAAGCTCAGAGGGTCGACTTGGGCATTTATATTGCCCGCTAGGATCACATTGTCAGCGCTTCTCGCTCGATGAACAACCCCGATAAATCTCGATGGAAACCATCCTCGGCGTCAGAACTGCAGTCCAATGAGGCATATGCGAACAGGCACCATTTTTATGTTGGGAGCCATTGGGCTGCATAACCTAACGGCTCAAAGACGACTGTTCGGTGGGATCCAGTCTAGCAAGGCGAGTTCAGCTGTGCCTCTGAGTGTATTTTCTGCGCCATATATTCCTCGAGTCATCGCTTCTTGATCATCGGACACACGGAGAGTAAATTGTGAAAGAAATGAGCACTTCTTAGCGTTTTGAGACTATGCTTTCGTCCTGTATGAATGTATCGTTCAGCTGTAGCCGCCTTTTCGGTGCCTAGCTGCCATGCCACCCGAAGGAAGCACGAGGGCTGGGATACTCAGGCCTAGACAGGAGAAGTCGAGAGGTGGTAGTCGGGTTCGAACCACGAACCTTCGGGTGCGTAAATTCGCGCTCTAACCACTGAGCCCTCTCATCTTGTGTGTGTGTGTGTGTTTTAGAGATACAGCATCGGTTTTAAGGAGGTGTAATATATCGGTGAGCGTTGTCCTTTTGCCTTTTGAGTGTGGACTTTAGAAAGATCTCGTGGGGTTAGTATAGTGTTACTTGGCTTATAATTAATAGAAAGCCGGATGTGTAAGGCACATCGGTCGGATAAATGACAACCCAATACCCCACCAACGTTTATTAATGTAATGGAAAGAGTTTTGGGGAGGCCCATCGGTGGGTACAGAACTGTGAGGGTAAATGATAATTCCCGGTTGCCCAGGCCGAGAAAGGGAATTTAACTGAGGTATCCCACCTCCCCAAATCATCAGTAGACAAAACTGTGGCAGCTGCAATCACTGTACGACAAGTACGCGGTTCCTACAGCTGACGATGTTCCCACCTAGAGTCTTTGACTCAAAATCTGACCCACAAAGAAGTTGGATGCAGTAGGATTTTGTCCGGGGGCCTTGTCTCTATCTTCTGTCTCAGAAATCTGACCCGTTAGGCAGCGGACAGTAGGGTTTTCTTCGGAAAGTTACCGGAGCCGATGTCTCAACAGTGGGACCTGGTTGTCTGCAGGGAAATGGTCTAACTCGAGGGCGTTACTGAAGACATTACTGTCCCACTCCTAATGCAGCTGCGCACGGCAAGTGCCTTTTGAAGAACATCAGACGGTCTGGTTTAGAAAGTATTTTGACCGTGTGAAATAACGCGCTGACGGTCACTGCCAACTGTTGAGCGATCGGTTGTATACGGTATTTAGGGTCTTCTAGCCCGTCTTTCATCTGGGGAAGGTGGCATCACTGCTTCCATGAATATGGACATGCTGATCTGAGGGAAACAAATTACTGCCTTGACACTCGTATCACAGAGGATAGTACGACTTTATCCCCAGACCGCCTCGTAGCACGATTGTTCCTAGTGTGGAGTCTCACCACTCTTGGTGTGACTGCTACCATTTGGCCTTCCTGACATGCTTTCACCTTGTGGAACGAAGTTTCAGCCACTGTAGCCCTCGGGATCATTACAGTACTGTACAGGAACTGTTAGTCATGTCCCAGAAAATGGCCTTGACTATTGTCAACACAATCGATTTCTGAACGCTTCTTTAAGGCGGCACAATAGTAGTATTTCGAAGATGCAGGGTACATTATCCATTGGGGTGATACCCGCTAGTCTCACATAACGTTCTGTTACCTATTTCGTTCTTGTAGTAGTATAAGTATATTCTGACTCACAGGGGTGTTGAGCAGAACAGCTTGTGTAGAGGAACTGGTGGTCAGGAGGCGCTATGGGATACGATCTTCACTCGGGCAGCTCATAGCCAATGATATGTGGAGGTGGGGCTGTTGTCATTATTCGTCATTGGGTGAATGAGAATCAACCAGATGTGCTCAATCCTTCCCTTTTTGGTTTTTCGTGTTTCGTAGTCGACTCACCGTGTCCGCTACTCAGGATCAGCCTGTGTTTTTCCAGGATCACGACATATTTGTTTGTTGCTGTGTGTACCATCACTCTAGTGGGCCTAATCTTTTTATCACGTTTCTGTTTTAGCATCTGATGCTGGGTGTTCGGCGTACGCGAATAGTTTTTCTTCTAACCTTCGTGATTGGTTGTCTTCTGTGGATTGTATTCTACTTGCACGTACCACAAATTCAAAGTGGTGCGAATTTGAACGAGACCCCGTTTCGCCTGCCCGACTGGTTGAACAATACAAGTGAGCTTTTTCTCTGTCTCTGGTTGTTCCGGGGGGGATAGTCCAAGTAGTTAGAGTACGAATTCACTGACGAAAGGTCCGTGGGTGTTTTCGCTGGTTCAGGAAAATCACCTAGCTTCCCGCTTATCCATCCGGCAAAATATCATAACTTTTTCATCGTGACTGTTTATAACTCGCCAATTTCATCATGGGGAAACGTCTTCAGGAGGGGTCCGTGGATTCAGTCTATATCCGTCTCTCACGAATCTTTTTGCGTACTTCCCAAGAACTCATACGCCTCTTGCCTGTTCTTTCCGAACCGGATTCTGCATATGTTTGAGCCCGTCCGTTTGGTACAAACTTATTTTTCACAGTCTTCCGTTTTCCTTCACACTCATATTCTAGATGCCCTGACCACAAACAAAGGATTTTGTAGCTCCACCAGACAAAGTGCATCATCTTACGTTGTTGACGATACTGGCTCCTATTGTCCTCGCACGGTCTTGTTAAATTCTGGCTGTTGTCCCACTCCTGTTGCCTCTGATCACGCAGACACTGCTGTTATTGTCCGCCGCTTTGTGTGTGATTCGTGCAACCAAGCCCGTGAAAATTGCTGCCAGATCTATGAACACTGCGTATCTTGTTGTATGAACAGACAACATGTAAGTCACCTCCATATCTGTATCCCTAAGCGCAAGTGCGTCAATTCTGTTGCTGTCAGTTGGCCAGCATTTTCGTACAGGCAGTATGTACGTTGTTAGTCATACTTTCCGTGTCATAGAATATTAGGTAAAGCTCAGCTCTTCTCGATCGTCCCTTCCTTGTTTTTGTCCTCTAGGTACAGCTATGGCGTGAAGCCCTTTTGCAGGCTTTTGAATTACCTGCACAACGCCACCTTTTGTTAGCTGATGGACTATTCCAGTACTGCCAAGCGAAATGCCGAACATCGTCTCAGGTGAGTTTTTTCGTCTTTGTCACACATTCAAAATTTTCCCCATTAAGATAATAGTAATAAAATGGTGTATGGTATTGATAACGGCTGGTTCAACCAAACAGTTGGAAACTATAGCATGTTTTTTGGCTCGTAAGGTTCTTAGCTGGGAGCCATGTTTGGATATCGGTAGTTCACTGATTGTCTGGCATTTGTATCTCAAAAGGTTTTATCTCCGGTTGAGCGGATGTTACGGATACGCACAACGTTTGCTTCAAATCAATACACGTCCCCCCTACTGAGGATATTACCTGAACGGACTTACTAGAAGTCTATTCTGGGAAAATTTAACCGCTGAAAGTAGCTTAGGGAACCAAATAGAAGTCATCTGTTCGGAGAGTTGCCTTCATCATGGAAAGAAATCTGCATGAACCCTGCAGTTGACTGGCTGAATACCTAACTATCCGGTTGATTCGAATTCAGTGGTTTGGTTTCCTATTGAACACTACCTCTATATAGTCGGATAGGCGCGGTCTGCTCTGGTCTGATCTTACCATTCCCGTTCATTCTCGGAATGCTGTCACTTCTGTGGCGTGTCCTTTGAGAGCTGTTGATTTCCTTGTTTGGGTAGATAGCTGGTGCTACTAGGCGATTAACTGATCTCGGAAGTCCATCTGAAGTTTTCTATTTAATTTAATTTAAACCAGAGAAATGACATCAAAATACAGTTTCCTGTTGTGTTTCAATGACGAGGGTCGCATCTTTGCTGCACCCGAATAGGTTAGTTGATGGTCTTCGGTGGACGTGCAGATGGACGTCGATGGGTGCTGACTGACCTCAGTCAGAAGAACGTTTGACTTAACGGATATTCAACCTGACAGGTTTGTGTTCTCATGTTCGAAGAGGAGGAGAAGGCGCAAGTATTCTTGGATGAACTGACCAAAGTCATCCCGTCCTTTGGTATGCATTTTGCACCCACGAAGTGTAAGGTCATGCTTGTGGACGTGCAGTCACTGAACACGCCCCTTACAATCCAGGGAGAGGTACTGGAAGTTGTGGAGCGTTTTACGTACCTTGGAAGTTGTATTAGTTCTGATTGCAGTGTGACAGATGAGGTGAATGCACGAATCTGCAAGGCTCGGGCCGCGTTTGCTAACTTGAGACACCTATGGCGTCAGAATGGTTTATCCCTGAATCTGAAGGGACGTGTGTATCAAGCTACAGTACGGGCTGTTTTGTTGTATGGCTGTGAGACTTGGCCTATTCGAGCAGCGGACCTGAGACGTCTTCAGGTGTTCGACAATCGTTGTCTCAGAACCATAGCTCGTGTGGGTTGGTGTCAGCGAATCCGTAACGAGGCAGTTAGAAAGCGTGTTTTCGGTTGTGTAACGGGTACTTCCATTGAAGAATGTGTCCAGCACCAGAAGCTGCGTTGGTTGGGACATGTTTTACGCATGCCGAACCATCGTTTGCCGAAGAGAGTACTGTTTTCCATGCCCGATTCGGAGTGGCGTAAACAGAGAGGTGGCCAACCCTTGACCTGGCAGAGGAGTATGAAGGAGATGACGAAACGCTTGGGTGCTGTCGGTGCTACTCGCCTTCCAGGATGTGGACCGCGTGATCCTCACTGTGCCTGGTTGGAGACACTACAAGATATGGCTGGCACCCGATGTCAGTGGCGTTCTTGTTGTCAGTTTCTGTCCAGATTGCCTGAATGAATGTCTGGAGGTGTAGGCACCTCGGAATGATTGTGTTAAGCTAGCACTAAGTCCCTCCCCCATCCACCTTTATTCTTTTCTTTACAATAAGGCTTTCAAATAAGTCATGGCTGTACGGCAGTGAAGCATTGGTGTTGAGCACTGATGTCGTTGATGATGATGATGATGATGATGTACTCCTTACTTTACGCCACTGTCCGGGCGTTTTTGCGGATTCCGTTCATAACAAAGCCCAATGAAAATTCCGGCAAAATCAATTGCTTCCTTCAAAGGATATAGGGTATACGAGTCGCTAAAAAGATTACTGCCTAGCAGTAAAATCAAAATCCGTTGGGGACGCTATAGCATATTGCCAGATTGTCAAACTTTTACCTGTCCCTGGTTGTGCAGAATGTGGGTTCATGACCGGAATTCCGATCCATGAATGTCCGGTAGGAACCACAAGCGGGTATGGGTGGATCGAAACGGTAGAGTCGTTGCTTACGTTCAGCTTATTGGTTTATGCCATCCACTGCTTGATAGAAACGAAAACAGACGGTTTTCTTCCAAGGGTAACACTGTTGTAATCTTGGTTACGTGGATTACCCACGGTGTCCACTCTTGCCTTTAGTGGATTCGCTTCGATCTTAAACGTAATTGTGAGCTCCCGGGTGACTGTTCCGGCTCGTATCGTTAATTTACTCAACATCCATTGGTTCTAAGGCTTTGTATAGTAGAAGTACGTCAGTGTGACTAACATCCGGAGCATCCACGGGACTTGGTTTCATATGGTTTATATTTCTGATTTCAGTTCCTTTGCACAGTTTACCACCAGTACTCTTGTCTTTCACACAGAGCGTTCTTCACGAGAACACCTATAGAGACGCGGAACATCGATATTGTTTTGGCTTGCACTCGACTTCGCCTGATTCGTAGCCTTTGTTGATCAGCAGGTCTGCATCACAATGGTTATCAATGGTGAGCTCACGTTTGTTGGTTGCCTTGCTTCGTTGCTGTCGTTACTGTTTTGTTACTTCTACACTGTGGAGTCTTTTTATATCTGATTAGAACCGGGGGCGAAAATCAGCTTATTCCAGCTTTCTGGGCATGTTGTCACCCGCCTCCCACTTTACCACCCTTCAGTGCCGTCTATGTTGTCCACGCCTACCCAACGTGGATCAACTTTGTGTGGTTCGCGCACCGACGTCCTGCTGACGAAACCTTTGCAGCCCATGTTCTTTTTTTCTTGTCAGTCATAAGGCATTCGGTCGTTTCGGACCCCAATGTGGGATTACTAGTGCGATGTTAAAGTTTTCTGGGTACATTTTTTCTCAGTCTACCTCACCTATTCGACCTCCACGAAAAGCATTCACCTATACTGTCCATCATCATCCCTAAGGCTACCGACGAAGGGTTTTGTATCCTTCGGAGACAACATGATTCATTCACGCTTTCCCCTTTTTTATATCGTACTTCTTTTTCCTAAGTTGTGTTTTTCTTGACAATTTAGACAACGAAAAGATCAGAAGTTCAGGAAACTTCTCTTTGGTGACGCATATGACACCGGTGCTGCCCCGGCTCGTTGTGATACGCTGATCTACAATTCTCAACCGGTTCATTAAACTGGCTGTGAAGATCGATCTCTATCATTGCGTTTTTGATATGACTTTGTTATTTTGCCCACGGACTTCGTTCTTCTGTGCATCATGTTGAATTTTTTGAATAGAACTTCGTACAATTTTCTCTCCATTGTTGGTTACTTATATCAGAAGTGTAAGGAGTATGGGGTTGAAAAAAGACAGGTGCAGTGAATCGACAACTTTTAGAAGTGATCGACGAATCGCTTTCCTCGGTCATCGCACACGTTAAGGTCGAACTCAAAACACGCGACGATGGTCATTCCTCCAGAATCACAATCTCAAAGTACACAAATTTCTAATTGATTTGGCCATTGAAGTAGATTCCGTCATAGTCTAGCAGTTCAAATCTTACGGAGTTGTGGAAAATCACTGAGAGTTCCAAAATGCAGTCGTTTGGGGAAAGAATTAGGGAGCTAAAATATTTCTACAGTGTCGTGAGGAGATTGTCGAAGCACGACGAATCATACACCCCAGCACCCCACAGAGATATCCTAGGGGACTCCAGTTAAATATCCACGGTGTCTGTCCTACCAGGTTAGTATACGGAGATCCCACACAGTCTTGTGATCATCTGAGGGGGAGGCATGTGCAGCAACTTGTTTCCTAAAAGTTATACTACTCTGTTATTTCAACCACGGTTGTCTTGCGCTAAAGATTTTGAGTGAAGGTTCGTCATCCTCATACATAGGTTTCGGCCTTCTGGAAATATCTCATCCCTTGCACAATCATGAGATTTGTAATAAAACTAGCTTCATCGCACATTGGCCGCCACATTTCGGCATAAGGCCGATCACCTTATCCGCTGCACATAGTAGGGCTGAAAAGGGAAAACGTCACTTTCGAAGCCTCTGGTATTATCCCTTGCCACTCCCATCCCACTCGGTAATTACTCTCATGCAGATCTCAGTCGCGGAGTTGTCACTCAGACACTAAGGGGAGTGACAGTCGCGCGCCACCGTCCAAATTTCCCTCTTCAGATCGGCTGCTCGGGCTTTGTTATCCTTTTTTACCACAACATCCAACGCGCGAACTCCACTAACTTGTGCCCTGGGTACTTTATCGATCGACACTTGTTGCATCTCTGGAAGCCGAATACAAAATTCTGGTCTATCACTAGCTCACGACACCCTCCCCCTATATAGGCAACATAGGTTACGAACTTCGAGCGCTTTCGCAGCTGAGAAGATTTTTAACGGCATAGTTTCCTTCCGCTAGACGCGTGCATCTGGAGCCATGGTCCCCAGTTTCGAAAGTACGCTGAAGTGCTGTTGAGCAAGGTGGGCATTCACTAGCGTTGTTCAGAGGCGGTGAATCTTTGCATCCTGTCATGACCAGTTTGTTTTATCTGACTCTGGAGGATTCATCATCATCGACAGCATGATATCAGTGTTCAACACCGGTGCTTCACTGCCGTACAACCATGATTTATTTGAGCAGGGCCGATAGTTGCTCATTCCTCAATTTCGAAGTGGGCTTCGTCCGTGTAGGCTGACATACACATAATAAGTGGAAAAATATTGCCCTCTAGGTTTGTAAACATCCTTCGCTCCTTTGATTTCACTGCCTTGGACGGCTTGAAGTGTCCATAATCGATCCAAAAGTCTCGAGATGGCGCGGACTTACTGACCGGAGGGTCTAGTGTTCAAACCCAACTACTCTTGTCTAGGTTCGGACAAGTTGACAGTATCTTAGCCCTTGTGCTTCCTTCGGGTTGCATTGTAGCTTGGCACCGAAAGGGTCTTATAGCTGGACAACCCTTATCATTTATTCAGACGTTTCTCCATGATTAGTTGTGGTTGTCCCCTGTTTTTCCGATCCTATCGTCAGTGTCGGCGGAATGGAGTGCATAATACCAGAAGCCGTGAATCGATGCGAACTCATGCCTAGAGGAAGGTTTGTGGGACCGGATATCGTTTTGCTACTCGATAAGTTCTTCATTTAACTGGAAACTTCTTAAACCAAAAGCTGAGGGAACGTACTGAACCCAATCATTCAACGCTTTACAAGCTGCCTCAGGGGACACCAACAACAACCGGAGAACTATGGTTGGAGACTGCGTAGAGTATGTGTACACGAGGACCACTGGATTTCGAAATGGCCGCCGTCACTCCATGACGTGAAATGAGCTTCTTAATGGTTGTTTGTACACACGGCATAGCTCATCTCTCTGCACAACTTCAGGATGAGGGAATTGGCTATGTTGATCCGTTCAGATATCGTGGCAAGTGCACTACCGTGGAATCATTGCACCAATTATCAAGGTCCAAAATAAGTTCACCGGTCTGTTTCAGCTCTGGCGTCAGGAACGTATTTCATTGCTGCTGAAGAGCCATGTATGTATGGTTCCGAAAATTACCGTTACTTCCCGATTCGAAGAATGGGAACGCTTCATCACTTGTGTCTCCGTAGTATAGCAGGGCCTAACTAGCCGCGATGTGTACGCAACGAAATTATGCGTAATTAATCAGAAACGAGTCCTGACATGCACAGAGTAAAAATTGGTTAATTAAGCAATACATGACGTAATGATGCACAATTACTGAAAGCGAATGGGTGCGTTGTCGTTTCCATGCCCTTGCCACGTGATTTTACTGGCTCCCTCCAAACAGCTAGTGAACAGACGTAACCTCACAAAGCCAATATTCATCTAAACTTACCGCCCCTGATTTTGATGTTCACCAAAAAACCACCGACTATTTTTGTGGCAGTTTTCCTTTAATTAACTCTCTTTTGTCAGTAAGACAGGAGCCTGTTTTTTGTCGCTAGTGGCCAGATAACCGCAATCCTCGGTTATGAGTATTACACGTACCGTGTAGTGCCTGATCATGGAAGGGTATATATGTATATATATATATGTATATATATATATATAATACATTTCAATACGAGATAGCAGAATATGAAGGATAACAGTCAGACTACTTTGTTTGCCGCACAAATTATCCGTAAACTTCTTTTTGCGAGCATGACAGATAACCAGATAAGGTAGGCCAGAGCGACTCGCTTTCCACAAAGTCTCGGTTAGTTCCTGGGGACTAGCTATGTTCACAACAAATGGTATATGAAAAAGCGATAGGTTCTAAGATTCACGCATGGGCGACCATAATAGGCATAGATATTGGGCAGATTGTCTATGACATACGCCGAGGGTGTCGAGTCACTGGACGACAACTACTTCCGCTGTTTGTGGAAATAGTATTTCAGCCCATTGACCCCTACCACGTCGTTTCTTGGTTTGCCGATGAGTGAATTTGGTCAACTATTGAAGAATATGTATTCCGACTAATTGATATCCCCGCCTCACCCCACTCATCATTCATCACCGTCTATCTAA